CTTCTGGCTGCCATGAAGCAAGCAGCTCTGTTCTATCACATCCTTTCCACTGTACTGTTCTGCCCTACCTCAGGCCCACAAACAGTGCAGCCAGCTAGCCATGAAACCTCTGAAACCGTGAGCCAAAATAAACCTTTCCTCAAGTTGTTTAGGTAAAGTATTTTTTCACAGTGACAGAAAGCTGACTACCACAATACGTAATGATACAGTAGGATTTAATGACAGAAATGTGGGTATGGCTGAATAATTTGAAAATGTAATTTGGGGTTTACTACATTAAATAAGAACAAAACAACTATGAAAGGTAGTATCTTAATTTTAATACAAGCTACAGATAAATACTTCTAACTTTTCATTGCAAACTAAAATGCAAGGAACAAATGCCATTATTATAACAGTCCTGGTAGTGGAATAGGAGTTCCCAACCAATAGAATAGGAAAATAGTAAAAACTAAGAGTCATATATACTGGCAAAGAGAAAAACTTATGTATGGATGCCATGATTTCCTATTTAGAAAATCAAAGTGAATCAATTAAAAAACTAATGAAAGAATTACTAAAAAGAATTCAGTAAGATGATTAGATATAACAGAAAAAAACCAGCATTCTAAACAGACAGTAAACCTGTTAGAAAATGTAAGAAAATAAGATCCCTTTCAAAATCAAGCAAAAAGTGTGAAATACCAAGCAATAAACTTGGCAAAAAATAATGTAAGATTTATACAGTAAAATGGTATAGTTTTAGTGAACTACATAAAAGATCAGAATAACAGAACATGAGTTAACAGAAGAACAATTCCTTGAATAGTAAAATTCAATTTGTTGTGAGGATACCACTTTTCCTAAACTGAAAATTGAAAATCTCCAGAGAGTATTTGCGAGGCTAAGGCAGGAGGATTGGAGTTTGAGGTCAGCCTAGGCTACACAGTGAGTTCAAGTTGTCTTGGAATATTGAGTAAGACCCTGATTCAAAAATCAAATAACAATTCTCCAGAAGACTGCAGATGTAGCTCAGTGGAAGAACAGTTGCCTAGCATGAGTGAGGTACTGTACTCTATCACAAGAACTGCATGTGGGGAGGAGAACCCAAAGGATTTTAAGAATAGAACTTGATCCTGATTAATAATGAGGGAATTCACATCCATGAGCACATACAACAAAGACTACAGTAATCAAAAGCATACAGCACAGAAGGGCTGGGGATTTAGCTCAGTGGTTCTGTTGCTTGCCTTGCAAGCTCAAGGATCCGAGTTCGATCCCCGCTACCAAATACAAACCAAAAACATACAGCACAGAAATGGACAAGTGGATTGAAGGAAAAGAACAAACTTCAGAAACAGCTACATTAGCTTCACTCACATGTGGATTAAGGTTAGATTTCAAATTAAAGGTTATTTCATTTAATAGAAAAATAGCAACTAGTTTGAAAAAAACTTAGAGGACTAACATATGTGTTTAGCTAATATATGAAAAACTGCTCACATCATATTAGCAAATCAGTACATACAAATTAAATCAACTTTGTTGTTTGATCAGATTCGTAACAATAAGTGAAAATATAAAATGGTTTTGAGAGTGTGAGAAAAATGCCTAGGTAGTAATATATATTTTTGCAGACCAATTTGACATTATATACCCTATAAAAACAACTAAGGATGACTGCTGACTGAAAAATTTCACCTCTGGGAACCTATCCTAGTTAGAAATATACCCTGAAGGCAGCACTAGCTGCAAATGCAAAAGCTGTTAATTCAAGTGGGTCATGGTTAAAGTAATTCTTATCGATTTGTACTTATGTGTCTGTTAAAACCAACAGCACAAATATCTGTGCACTGATATAGAAAAATTTACAAGACAGTAAATTAAAAACATAACTCAGGGATTAGGGGTGTAGCTCAATAATAGAGCATGTTCAGGGTTCAAGCCCCAGCAGCAAAAATAAAATTTCAGAGTCATATAATCCTATCTCATCCAGTGTGTGCATAAGACTGCGCCTGACAGGGAAATGTCTGAAAGGATAAACACCAGTTTTACCCTGGTTGCCTTTGGAGATGGGAGTGGAAATGCGGTAGATGGGAGAGGGAAGGGTTCAAGGGTGAGGTTCACTTCTTAAATTGTTCAATCTGTATTCAGATTAAAATATATATTTACTTTTATTAAATAATTCTTCTTTTAAAGGTTTTACAATTTTTTTTTGTACTGGGAATCAAACTCTGGACCTTGAGCTTGCAAGGCAGGGTCGGTGACACTGAGGTAAATCCCTGGCTCAAAGGTTTTACAGTTTATTAAGAAGAACAGGCTGGATCCGAACAGGGCTGCTGATTTCTTGATTCTTATTTTATCCTAAGCAGTTCCATGAGCTTTGTTTTTAATCTACTTTACATATTTGGCTTCTTAGTAAGATTTTATTTGAACAAGTCACAAAGTAACGAACATTTCTAAAGTCCTTTTGAACACTGACAATCTATTAAAGTCTATAAATTAGTTACTTCCTCTTGTGATTAGTGCTAGAATACTTTAGTCAAAAGGTGACAACTGAGTTCTATTCTTCAGCTTTGCTACATTGCACCACTTACCACCTGATTAATAGATAATGAACATTCACAAAGGCACCAGCTGTGTACCTTGACAGATTCAATACATTCAAGATTTCAATTCAGAAGTTCCTTGCCAACATTTTGGAAAATGTACTCAGATACAGAATGATGAGTCATCCTTTTCCCATTTGTTACTTTGCCTCTCTTTAATTACTATTATTTATTTATTTACTATAACTACTATTATTTTTAAACTACACAGAATACAAAAATCTAAAAACCTCTCATTTGATATTTATGAAAATTACTCAATAAATTTCAAAGTACAATCTTCAGTCTTGTCTTTTTCAAGCAGTGATCAGTGCATATCAAAGTTAAGTGAATGCCAAAGTAGCACACATATTAAAATTTCAATTTTTAAAGAAATCAAAGCCTTTAAGTTGTCCAATGAAGAATGAGGTTTATTCCAAAGGTAGTATAAAATATAAAGCATTAAAACAAAACAAAAAACTGAGAAACTACATTTTACTATACAGGGACAGAAACTGGACTTCTCAAAAAGCTTATATCCAGAAAAATAAAGAGTAACAACTAATAGCAGCCAAAGTTCTTATACTACTATTAAAAAAAAAATGATTCAAATTTTTACATCCAGTTTGAGATCAATTTGAGAATAAAACAATTGTCCAGTAACTCTTTTGTAAAATGTTACCGTAGGAAAAAGAAATTAAGTGTATTATTTTATTTCTAACAAAAATAATCACATTGTAAAATTTTAAAGGACTAATGTTAGCATACTCAAAAGTTGGCTTTGTTCATAATATTACTATTTGGTGCTGGGAAATGAGCTGAGTGCCCCTTGCACACTAAGCACATAAGCACACACTCTAAAACTGAGCTATATCCTCTTCCCTAGCCTTATCCCAACCAATATGGTGTTTTAATATTTCACATGCTCACATTATTAAAAGATAAAATTCCGGCATCTAACCCTAAAGGCAAGGAACTGTATGTCACTCGTACTTGTTAAAATTACAGAACACATTTTAGGTGAATAATTAAGCAACACTATGCCTCCTCTTTTCATTGCCATTTTAATAGAAAAATAATATAAATTTCTGTATTACAAAATATATTTCACATTGAATTTGCAAAGGAAATCTGAAAAACACTCATTTTTTTTAAAAGGATGTTCAAAAGCAAATTCCAGATGATGCAAAGACATGAAAACAAGAAAACTCTCTAAAAGGCTAAGTGAGCCCAATTTTACTGAGGCAATCTGATTTTGCCTATCAGAGTTAAAATAAACAGACTTCTGGGTGTGATAGTGCACTCTTGCAATCCCAGCACTCTGGAGGTGGATCACAAGTTTGAGGCCAGTCTAGGTGACACAGTGAGGCCTCAAAAACTAAGCCAAACTACAACAAAATGAAAGCAAACTCCTAGCAATATAAACTGCTACATATTTACCCAATGGATACACGTTCAACAATATATACCTAAACACAGTGCAAACAGTTGACAAATGTAAAAAATCTGAAAGCAACCCAAGTGACCACCAATAGGCAACTAATTTAATCATGGTATATTGAGAAAGCAGAATACAAAAAAAAACATTAAAAAAATGAGGTAGGTCTCTATGTATGTGCTGATATGGAAAGGTCTTCAAGAAATACTGATTAAAAATTGTATTAAATAAAAAAGGTGGCAAAGTATTAAACAGTGAGGAAAAACAGTGTATTAGGGTATGCTACAATTCCTTTGTGTCCTAACACAGCTGTGATTATCTTTAGGTAGATAAATAAACGGTAGAGAAGGGGTGTGAAATTCTTCTTTTTGTATCATTCTGTACTGTTCTAAATTAAATTATACACCTTCAGCATTAAATGTACATTATTTCAGTAGAGGTTAAATGGGTGGATAAACCATCACTCATTCATAATTTTCTTTGTATTTTTCTCTATTAAAACAATTATTTTTATATAAACATATGAATGTGTATAGGTGTGTGTATGTATATATTCACAAAGATAAAAAAACAAAAAATATAAATACACACATACAGACACATGCTGAAATAAAGCAGAGGAGCAACCTTGTCCCCTGTCCATATCACACACTTACTATCCTAATGTACAATACACATAGTACTTCATTAATATAATCCAAAGATCTCAAAGCACTTCATTAATATTCATTAAACTCATGTAAATTTCCATATTGTGTGATGTTAGAAGAGTATGTGTACAAAGTATCAGTGAACACAGAAAGACATTCCCAGTGTCTTATGTGAACAATGTTCTGATTATTACAGGATCTTTTTGTCTTTGTGTTGCTTCACAGTTAGGTTTCAGAGGCTGGTTTTCGGATCAGGTCACCAAAATAAGCCGTGATTGTCTTCAATTTATTGTTAAGAAAATTCTGTTCTATTTCTACTTGACCCCCTGGCCCAGCTAAGGATGCCACCTAAAAAGATGAACAGAAGAAAGTTATACATACAGAAGCTTGATTTCAAAACAATTCTTTCATTCATATTGCTTTATCAAATAACAGGAAGAGTTTGGCTTTTTAATTAGGTCCCTCAAATAATTAGGTGTCTCAAATGTTCCCTGTTATTTCCCACATAACTATTAATGCAATATTTGGTAGCATTTATTGTTTCAGACTCTTTTAATGTTAAGATCAAGGCACTATGCTTCATAGAGACTTCATCTCTCCAATGCCATAAGCTGAAGAAATCAGAAAGAGAAATGAATGGATCCTTCCCAAATCTCAGGTTTATCTATTAACAGTCATTTAAAGAAAAATCCTCCTTCCTGAAAGCCTTTGTCTTGTTCACCTTTATT